AATTTCATCGCTATCTGAAGTGGAATTCTACAGCCAGCAGCTCAGATCGGTAGTTTTTACGTGGTTTTTCCGATCAACATGAAGCTAATGACGGAGAACAATCTCTACAAACGGCCCACGGACATATTACCTCCCTCTTCCTTGTCCTTTCCTCACCCTTTACACCAACATGCACTATACCACCACAAATGCCGGGAGACCCGTCGGGAGCTTAGAGCTTGCCCCGCTGGTAGGAAATATCTGGTTAAAGAAAACCCCGCGACGGTAGGTGGTGCTGGATTTCTCCGTACAGTGGCAGAAGATCGCCACCCCCTCCCAATGTGGTCAAACTTGCACTACACTTATGGAAGTTACGACTAGTTTAGTTGACGCGCCCGGTACCATCCAACCCCGTCTGACGCCTTCTCTGCACTCTGACCTCCATGGCGCGCCGCGCCGGCCTCATTGAATTATTTTTTTCCCGGCGCGCGCGCGCTCCCTCGGGAGGCGACTGCGGCGCGCTTGGTAACAACGCGCGCCTCCGCTCAGTTTCCACTCTCGGTGGGCGGCGCGCGTTACGCGCATGCGCGAAGAGAGCGGGCGGTCGGGCGGGAAATGATTGGTTTGTAATGAGAGGGAACGCGGCTCGAGATAGACGCTGCTTTTTTTTTGTTGCTACAGAAGCCTTTCGTTACGTTGTTTCTAATTTCGTGCTGAGTTGTTCTGTCGGGAATGGAAAAAAGGGGGAAGGTTACTTCCGGTGCGTGAAGTGAATGATGTAATCAGGGAGTTATATATTTTATTCATAGTCTGGAATTAAGGTTCGCAGGATTGGAGTGATGGGGAGGTGCATGGTTAAAAATGGTTACGTTCGTTGTTGACGTTCAGATGAAAATTGTAAACAATAATTATTTCCTAAGAGGGCGGACGTGCTGCTTTGAAGTTAGCACAAATAGAAATGATGATATTCTGAATTAATTTTGATAGGGATGTTACTGTCGTCTCCTGATTCTGTGAAAGCGACATACGTTGTGGATGAATGTGATTTCTAAAGCCTACGTTTGTTACTGATATACTTCGCCTCGAAGGGATCTCAGTGCGCAGAAAGAAAATCCGACGACTAGTGGCCTGCGATTGGCACCCTACAAAAGTAGCTCCCTCACGCTCAAAGAGGCACAGCTCAACTCTCACCGAAAGCGTTTGTGAGATATCACACTGAACGATGGAGATTATATCCAACAGCAGCCGATGGGCATGGAGGGTTTATAGTTATAATATAGATTAATGTATTTGCACTCAACATTATTTTCTACGAGTTATTTCCGTTTTATGTACCCTTGGGATGATAAAATGATATGCCACACAACAAGCTAAATTGAGGTTCTTCTTATTTCGTTTCCGGAAGATATCGGCCAACTGCAGCACAAAACAGTAATGTATGAAGTATTTTTATGGCAATAAACGTATTTTTTTATGGTTTTCACCTAAATTACAGAATTATTCGACATTTCAATTGCATCACCTGGAAAATGAGTTGTGATGGTTACCGTATTATAATAACTGGCGTCTTATTAGACATGTAATCTTCTGTCACTTCCTCAATGTAGTCTTTTCTTACTCCATTTCTTACAATGAAAATACTGTGATGACTCATCATGAATTCCGATCCGTGTCTATCATTTAGAGACGTGATGATTGCGCACGCGGTTGAGGTCACGCCGCGTCCTTGGCAAGTCACCTCGACGCGTCGCGTCGGGACGCCACGTAACGCGACGCGCGACTGCGCCGCTCCGCAACGCAATTAGCCACGGATTCCATTCCGGCCGCGGCGGCCCGGTTCGCGGCAGCGGTGGTGGGGGCGTGTCCCTCGGGCACGGGGACTCGCGCCCCCCTCGCCCACCGTCCCCTGCGCCCCGAACCCCTCCCTCCCCCGGCGCCTTGTGGCTGAGTAATTGCCACGCGGTGCAGGTGCAGTGGGGCCAGTCGGAGGTTCCAAGCCACCCACCGCCCCCCCTGCACCGCTACGCGTATGCCAACCCGCCCCCTTGCGTCGCCATGCGCCTGCTGACGAAGGTAGCTCACGGCATCAAGTGATGTCACTGCAGTGCGTCTGTCCGGGAAGTCCTAGGATCCCACTTCCGATGTTGACAGGGAGATGGCTAGGTCCAGTTCAGCCGCAGGCTGGGAGAATATTCTAGCAGCTGGCTGCTCTGATCGGCTGTTTTCCGTGATTTCTCCGAACAACATCAGGCGAACACCCTAACAAAAGAGCAACGCACAGCGCGCGATCTTTCCTTCCTCTCCTTACTCCTTACTTACACACACCTGAACTGGTGGGGAGGCCAGACACGAACTTAGACCTAGTCTCAGACAGAGTGGTGTTTTTTTGGTGGTAGATATCTGGTTAGGGAAATTCCCCTTATGCCGACGTGTGTCGGCGCCTGATCTCGTCAGCCAATAGAGATAAATCACCACCACCTCCCGAGATGAAAAACATGCAATTCACTTACGGGAATAATGACCATGGCCGATGAGACGCCCGGAATCACTCAATCAAAAGCCACGCGCCCTCCCTAATGAACACACACCTCATCACACATCACCGCGTCTGCTGCCTCCGGATCGCCCGAATGTTCCTCTTCTGCTCCAGTCTCGCTTTGAGGTGGAGAAAATTGTGTCCTCTTCGGGCATAATTATGAGGGCTGCTTTTTTCACCCTGCGTCTCCCACTTCGCCTCTGCCACAACGCCTGTGCTCGTCCGATTCAAGCTTCGTTGGATCGGTTTTCTCGTCTTTCGTTGCTATTTTGTCCATTCCCGCCTCTCTCGTTCCCACATCGAGTGTTTTAACGTTACGTGTTTTCACGGCGCCCATTCCCAGTCGCCCGTCCCCACGTCGCCCGTCCCCACGTCGCCCGTCCCCACGTCGCCCGTCCCCACGTCGCCCGTCTCCACGTCGCCCGTCTCCACGTCGCCCGTCTCCACGTCGCCCGTCTCCACGTCGCCCGTCCCCACGTCGCCCGTCCCCACGTCGCCCGTCCCCACGTCGCCCGTTTCTATTGAGGGGCCACAAATATTTTAAAAAAATATAGGACTATATTAAGAACGATTTGCTACGTAAAGAGTAATGATATGTTGAAATATGCTGTACAAGTTCGTCTACATTCAGGGTATGTTTTTCTTCTGAAATACTTAGGATTCGGATTTATGAAAAATGAATTCATTTACGAGTTGTTTGATAAATGATTTTGCATTGTGTGTTAATGGGGACTTCCTTCAAATAAGATTACGTTTCATATTGAATCATTAATGAAATCTTGTCGATGTCCAGGAAGTTGCACCTGGAGACATACTTCCGGCAATATTGTTCTTTTATTCAACAGCTATTTTTTTCATGCGTATCATGGACAATAAACTGAACCCAAAGTGAATATTTCAGTTACTCCATTAGGTTAACTTATAACTAATTCGACTAAATAGTGTTATATACAGTTCTGATGTCAAGAAATACATTTCTGATTCAAAAAATTACGAAGAAAATAAATTGATACTACATTTCTGCGCCAATCCTAAAAAACTCCGTAACACAATAAAATAAAGTTATTATGTTAACTTATTCTCAACGTCAGCATAAATCCTTTCTAATTTAATAGACACAAAAACTATAATATGAAAAAATCGTTATTGACCTCAAGTGGCATTTTTTTGCGGGGTGAAAATCCGTTATATTAAATTTACAGAAGTGTTATAAAAATGCTTGTGACAAACGACTATGAGTTGCAGATTTCAAAAAGTGCTAAGCAGGAAAAACAATTTTTAAGATAATTTTAAAATGAAACTGTTGAATGACATAAATATGGTGTTTTCGAAGATACTTTCAAGTAATTTAATACGAGCATCTGGGAATCAGTTCTGAAACGGTTCGATAGATTTCGTAAATAAATCATACAATGACAAATAATGATAATAATAATAGTAATGATAATGATAATGATAATGATAATGATAATAATAATAATAATAATAATAATAATAATAATAATAATAATAATAATAATAATAATAATGAATAGAAATAATACTTTTTAACATTTATCTTTCTTTGTGGGAATGTCACTGAAACGGTTCGTAAACATTAGTACATTATAAATCCTTATTTATGTTAGCGTAGAATGTAGGTGTAAATGAGAGCGTAGGCATCCGCGGCCGGGGTCAGCATTTACTTGGCTGTCCGGGAGACGCAGCTTCTTAGATGCCAACGTTTCGGCCGTCATCCTGCGACCTTTCTCAGGGCGAGGCAGGTCGTGAGATCGCTGATACGTTTGCAACTGTACACAGGACGCGGTGTCTCCACAACAGCCAAGTATTTAAGTGATGAAAATATGGTCAGTGCAAGTAATACGGACAAGAAGTGGCTATGTTGTTAGCTGAAAATGTTTACCTTGAATAGCACTAGCAGCTGCTGTCTGGAAGAGCGTAATAAGTGTGTTAATCCCCTACCAGCCTTGACACATGCATTCTCATTCTAGAGCCTCTATTGTCACGAAAGTGCTGAAGGTGCTCTGTCGATACAATTTCTTTTCAGGTATTTTTACCATTAATTGTACTTAAAAAAGGATTTAGTATTCTGACAAAATACATAAACGTTTTGTGCATTTTATGAGCAATCTAATCAGATTAATGCCGTTAATGCACAGTAGTTTACTGACATGGGTGAGCGTTTATAACATGTTTTTGCTGTCAATATGGCCAAGGGTGATGGACATATGACCAGCATTTACGATCACATTAACTGCATTCTCCAACAATAAACTCTCGCCCTATTGATGTAAAAAAGTATTTATTTTCAACTCATACATCAGATAAACTTCAAAACAATCCATCAACTTTTATACAAAATAGTAAAGTGGACCAGCCGGCGAAAAAAAGAATAAAGATAACATTGACAAGAAGTAATACTTTTTCATGAAGAAAACCCAACAAACGATGTAAACACTGGATGAAATAAATCCTGCAGAGAAAAATGGGGAAAGCTGGTATTTTCACTTGTCAATGACAGTTTTATTTGTGCCTATATATACTCCGTAAACGTAATCATTCCATTTATGATTTTTGTTCTCGAATATTGTTTTTTTTCCTGTAAATACTGACAGTGTCCTTCACCAAATATTTGTACTAGATCCTTTTCAACTTAACTATGGGTTATCAGTTTTCGTACAATAGATAATCTTGGACCAAATAACCTTGGATTGCAAGTATCTACAAAATATGAATTGATAACACTGCAAATTATCATGTTATTTTGCGCCAAATATACAAATAGATGTTGTTGAAACGTTGAAAAAAATTACTTCGGTGATATGAACCATATTACATTATATTTATGAAGAAAATGTCTACAAAAAAGGGCATTGCGAATTAAACTTGAATTTTTCGTATAACTTAAAGCCTAAAAAGTCTTACTTTAAAATTTGTAGACGAGGAAACAAAACCTTACAGAAACATTTTTGTAGGAACTTTTATCTACTTTAATTTTTTATAGTGCATACTTTTCGGTAGGATAGTTATAGAGACATACGCAAAAACCTTAAGGAAACCACTTTTAAGCTTCCCTACCCCTTACCTCCGTCTCTCTCACCCCTTCCCACCTCACTTTAGGATTTCGAGTAAACGTGTACCAGGTACTGTCATGATAAGCTTCAAAGTTACGGAGTTTTTTTCACTCGATTTGTGTAATTTGACTGAGCTATATAGAACAGTTTTGCTGATCATTTTCTTTTTAGTTCTTCTCAATATCTTGGATCGTTTTCTATTAATATATTTTTCACAAAAATAATGCACTTCTCGTTTACCTTGAATCATTTGCCGTTTTTTCTTGATTTACTTTTTTATACATTCTTGTTTAAATGTAAATACTGTATATTATATGTACGTATTCTATGAGTGTAACTACTACATTCAAATGTGGACGTTTTGAAATCTTCCCAAGAAGTACTATACCATGTTTTTTCAAGAATTTTAAAAATGATTTTAAAGTTTATTTTCTTTTGGAATCCTTTATGCACACGTCTGAATCTAGTTAAAAAAGTTTCTTTATCAGTACTTTTAATCATTTCTTCTGTTTCAGGAAGATTATTGACAGTGAACTATGGAACATCTCCATTTTGGTGGTTCCTCACCATGACAGACACACACGTTGCAATTATCGTCAGCGGTGACAACATCGTGCGGTTTGCATTCACCTGGAACATGGTTCGTATCAATTATAATAATTCAATGTATTGGTTTTAGAATATTGTACGTCAAAGTTAGTAACATTATGTATAAAATGAAAGAAAAATGCAAATTTGGAACTTCAGTTCCAATTCTTTATTTGGAAAGACTTAAGATTTCAAAAACAATCAGAAATACTGCATTTGGAGCGAACGTTTTAAAAAGTTTACTTTTACGAAGTGGAAAAATGGATGGGAAACTATGCATTGCCTTTTAATCATTCTGTCAATTTTGTTATTATATATTTTATTGATGTGTTTCACTAGAAACTTGATCACAGAAAAAAAGCTCTCTGATGTAATTGGGGCAACATCATAGTCTGTTCTTCGTGTAATTAATAGGTAATTACATTTAGTACCCACACAATGAACGTTCCGAAAGATTCCCTAATCTGAAGATTAAACCACATGTAAATATAAATAAAAATCAGGAAGCTTTTCTATGTTAACCGGGATAATGTTTTGTATCTTAACGTGCCTAAATTTAAAAACTCGCTCTCATTTGAAATGGGGGGTATCTGTAAGAAGCTACGGCACAGCGAGGTTTATGAATGAATTATTTTCATATTCAGTCTCAATTACAGTAAAGCATTAACTAATTATTTTCACTTCTTCATTTTGGCTAATTACTCCAGTGAGAATCGCTGCTTTTCCCGCTCTCTTCTAAAAGCTCCTCCCGTGAAACAGGCCGGATCGTTTCGACGACTATCGTCTGGCACTCGCTTTTTGGGAAATATATAACGCGCTACTGCTCATGACGTTAGCTGCTGGAATGTTGCAACAGTCAAGACCACGAGCCTTTCTCCTCTCCCCATGCGACTCACAGCATCCCACAACACACACGCGCTCCTGAGCCACCAGAAACTTGTCTCCGTGGCGGAACTGCAACTCTGTCGCACTTGAAGTTCTCGTAATGGAAAAACGATTGCAGATAATAATTCCTTTAATTTTAAAATATTAATAAAATGTCCAGTTTTAACTATATAATCAGTTAACAAGAGCACGTACCAATACATGGGCTATAATTTAAAGAAAAATCACTTAAGTGTTGGCTGAATAGAAAGCTCAAATTTCTTTCTAAACTAAAACCCTTGGTTGTTTAAATATATAAATATGAGTAGTAAAAATAGCACACAAACCACTGCTAGGTGAGTAGTCACGACTGCAAAAACATCAGCGGCAGGACGAGAGGGAACATTCAAAAAAACTAATCGCTTTTTAGAGGACAAAAATTATGCTGAAGAAATGATAATACACAATCTACTTTTCTTAAAGAAACTGTAAATTTGTGAATCAATGAAAGGAATAAATTTGGTAGTTGCACGAATCTGTATTCAAGTCGGAAACAGCAACCGTGACGCAACCTTTTATTTTCAATGATTACAATGAATGATATATTCATCAGAAAATACAACATTTTAATATTCTTAGCAGTTTTTGTGAAGATGAATTTTCCGGTTTTGTTGTGGGGAAAAATATCAATACCTGTGAACGATGTTATGAAATGAATTAAAATTAAGTTTCTTCCTCTGAGGTGGACTTTACATACTGTTAGTGAAACGTGGTTTTATAAGAATTTCTTTCTTTACAGATTTTCTTAAATTATCTCATTGAAAAGTGTTTTTTTAATTCAGTGTACATTTTTTAAAAATATTATATATAATATAGCCAGTCGCCAATCACACAAAATCTCGTAGCATCGATCTAGTGTTACCAACATAAGAACAAAACCATACTACATGATTCAATTTTTTACGATATATTTTTTTGCAATAAAACAAAGGATACTCACTGTCCCAACCTCCCGGCGGCGAAAACGGTGGCCAAGCTGGTTTGGCTTGCGCGAATTCTGACCACATGGCCATCACGAAAACTATCACAGCAATGACGAAGGTGCCAATGGTCATGATTACGAGGATATCAGGGTACATCTAGCCAACAAAAAATACGCGCAAAACTATGCGAGGAAAATACTTCCCAGGTAAAGGTAAAAAAGTAGAGACTAAAACTAAAACTGGATTAAAACAAAGCGAAGATACACTATTTTAAGATAAACAGAAAAATCATTACCAGAAAATGTTATGAGGATTATGCCTTTGTTTAAAGTTATAATAGAGTGACAGAAAATGAGCTACTTCGTATACGTTTTACCAGAATATGTATGTTCACTTTGCTATATCATTGCTGGATTAAAGGAGTAAAGACGCTTCTTTGAGAAATGAAATAATTCATGGCATAGTAGTACAACTATTTGACATTCAAATTTCTTAGTAGCAGTAATAACATCATTAATGAATTCACCATTAATTATTCGATGAATTCATATGAAACGAACTTGAATGTTAACATGAATGAAAATAGATATATTTGATAAACATGTGTGAAAATAGTGTGTTACATTTTTACAACAATATGTGTTAATTTACTTATGATATTTACTTTTATACAATAGTGTAGAGAGTACAAATATAGGGTTGCCACCGACGATGTGACATCGCCCACAAAATTCATGTAATTTTGCATTCATATCAGGATTAAATTCGAAAAGTGCTATTACAATGTTAAGATTGGTGCAGGTGGGGAAGGTATACACGCAGTATTATAGCCACAAATTAGGATTTAGGATGGATGGATAGATAGACAGATAGATAGATAGGTGGGTGGAAGTATCACGCATAACTCTGATAACAAGCTTTTGAGAGTAAACTTGGGAAATGCGTCATACGCAAGATTTAGTCGTGCAGTTTACGGGATGATTATGATATTTAAAATTTGGAGGATCTTAACGTAAAATCCATAAGATATTTTCAAACGTTTCAGGGGGAACATTTTTTCTTCGAAGTTATTGATCGACAAGAGAAAAGTTTATTTGTAAATACATTATATTTCCGACTTTCATTAAAACCTCTTAAACTTCGAAAATTGTGAAAGTTATTATTTGTATAACCTGACCTACACCTCCCATATTAAAAATCAGTTATTTCTTTTTGAATGCAAGTTATCATTAAACTTTAGATATTTAAATTATGTCATGAATAGTTCTTTAAAAATATTAATAAGTGTAAGATAACTTTGATGAAAGTGGTGATATTTTTAAGATACTATATAAAAAATAATTTAAGTGTGTTGACATCCGTATCGCTTCACGCGAAAAAAGCGGGAAAGTAATATATTATATCTATTTTCCGGTAGAAAAAAAGCTTGTCAACATACGTTCCTATGTCGTCGTTGATGATTGACAACCTCCTGTGTAAAAAAAGAAACAAAACTTTCCACGAGGAAGAAAAACAATTTTTGATGTTAAAGAAATATAATTGGATAAATTTAGACATTCTACAATTTCTATATAATAGTGTTAAATATTTATTTATTATAATATTTTTCTAAAAGAACCTTACAAAAACTTTCCAAGTAGCTCTTACCGTATTGGAGATATTCTAATATCAATAAATTGTCAAGGTCACATATTTTTATTTTCTATTGTATGGCCACAGTTTCTAGCCATCTTTGGAAATTTTATCAAACAAAGAACATGCAAATTCTGAATCATCGATATTAAAAAGCAACTAGTTTTTAAGAAACTTTCTAAGAATGATCAGAAATTTCATTCTTTCGTTTCGAAAAATTTTCGAAAAAATTCATTTGATATCATTTTAAGTACTTTTAATTCACAAACACCATAGTGTTTACAAATTGCCGGAATTGCACATATCAACGGCGTGAGAGATCTTTCAAAAATATACATTTGTGCACTGAATTTGAACAAAAGTTTGAAGAAAAAAATTGGAGCCTTTTTTGAGAAAATTTCGTTTGAGCGTTTTTGAAAATGCATAATTTTCAGCTAGTTTTAACAGAAAAGAGTTTTTGAGAAACTTTATATGTCATTATTTAAAGCAAATGTACTTATAAATACAATATTGTGAATAAATCGCTTCTAATATAAATATTAACGACATGAAAGAAAAGTAAAAATAATATTTTTTGTAATTTTTGAAAAAACAAAAGAATAGAGCAATATTGCGTTAATATCTTGAAGAGTACATTAGGTCTATCCTTAGCAAAAGTTGAAAGTAAACATGTGGATCCGGAACAAGAAAATCTTGTTTTTGTAATTTTTCAAAATTGCAAATATTGCACACAATATTGCTCGAAAACTACTAAAACTTCGAAAAAAATGTACCTGATCTTAATGAAAGAACTCACTATGGACAAAAAATGTTATATGAAGAAAAAACCTTTATCTTTAATTTTGTAGTTGTAGGAAACCGCGAAAAAATTAAAACTTTTGTAAATTTCAAACATTGAGAGAGAACCGTGAAAATTGAGCATATATCCTCTATATGTGTGAATTTTACTCTATGCGTACAAGCAATTTAAAGAAGAAATTTGTAGCGATTTTTAAGAGAATTTGAAAATGTCCGGGGGCTTCATGTAAAGTACCCCGAATTTTGAAGAATCACCAAGCTCATTTCATTCTCCAAACGTATATTCACAAATTTAACAGTGAACATTTGTTGGTATATTCAATATTCACATTATTTTAAATTTCTAAATTTAGTTCACATTAAGACAATGGAATAAATTATAATTCTTAATTTACTCACAAGAGGGTATCTTGAACTCTTCAAAGTTGTTCAACTCTTCTGACTAATAATATCACGAAAGAAAGTGCAGAGGTACTCGGTGGAGTCAGTTCTGATTAGATGGACAGTGGGGCAACTTCTTATACGACGTCCATGAGTCGTGAAACGTGTGTATTATTTGCAGATAAGAAATACTGCTTTGAGAAATTATACGGTACACAAAGTTAGCTTGTGTGGCCGATTCGTTTTAGGTAAGGTTTTTTTCATTTTATCTCTACTTATTGCTTCTGTATTGTAAGTTGTGTGTTCTACTGACACTGACCCAAGACGTATATCCCATAAACTGCGAAAGATAAATCTTCCGAGCTCTGCACCGCTCTTGAGTAAAATAAAAACAAGTTATAAAATGTAATCGCTTCCCTACCTAGTATGTACCGTTATCAATATTATCATTGGGAGTGAATCACATTGACCTGAATAAGTGTACCTTTTACATAACCAAACTCAATGTAAAGTTATACGTTGGCCATGTGTATTTAATGAAGTGGTCATTTAATGCCATTCAATTATTCTGTATATTTTGACATAATTATTACAAATTAGTCAATATGCAAAAAAGAAGGCACTGTCATTTTTATTTCCAAATTTCAACATAATTTGCCTTGAAAAATAAAAATAAAACGACTAAAAACGGTACGAGTGAAAACATCGATATCTCTTTCAAGCTCAGGGTTTTTACAAGAGATTTTAAATTGAAGATTAAATCTGAAAATGTGACGCTTAGCTCTTTAACGGTATTTCAACAAAATTTCTTTCTTAAGGAAAATATAATTAAGAGAATTTTCAGCTTTAATAGAATTTAATGAATTCTTCAACGACATTAGCGATTAATAAAGCAATACTTGTTAAACAGCACATACATTTTCACATTATTTGTATTGGCTTTACAATATATCAATACTTCACCAACCTACAAAATTGTTTCTTGCCAGGAATTCATTTTCCCTCGTCGGCTTTGCTATAATTGCTATAATTTTTCATTTACGCTGAATATAAAATATATTTTTTTATTTGTTGACATATAGTTAATACTTTTAATGGTAAAGGTCGGTATACACGATACAGTTTTCGAGCAGATTCTTGCAAAGTTTCTATATAGAAACTTCAAGATCTCAATCTAGATGTTCAAAACCCAAAAGTCACGCGTACTGTCTACTTCAAAAGTCTACGCGCAGTCTGTACGTTTCCTGCATACATTTTGTGTGAATCGCCACAAGACGTCTACCAGGAAACAACCGAATTGCGTACAATAGTTTCAGTGGCGGTTTTTCTGTGCGTCCGTTTTGAAAGTGAACTAAAGCATGGAGGGCAACCATGAGGGCGTAGAGAAAAAAAAATAGGAAGGCGGGAATAGGGAAAGAGGTATTTTATTATAATATCACTTCACGCAATCGCATATTGACACACATAACCAGAAAAGTGAAATTACCATAAATAACAGTCGCGTCGGGCAAAAAATCTGTTAGTGAACGATTCTGCTTCTAGAGGTGCTTGAAATAAACTATAAGCTTTCTGTATGGAAAACTGCGAGCAGGCCCAAACGTTTTCAAGCACAAATCTTACCTACTGAACTGCACAATTTTTGTACGTCCAATTTGCATGAAAACCCTACCATGCATACCAGCCTTAACAATTAATATATTTAACTACTATCGTTCAAATAAAAAAATACTAAAAGCTACGTTTTTTAATACGAGACCGTAGATTGCATTAAATATGTAAATTTGCATTTACATACACGTCTACTACTGTCCACATTAGATAATTAAATTTTCATTTAAAATTTAAAAAAATAAAGATTTTAATTTGATAATACTGATCAATAAAAAATGATTTCAAGACGTAGTGTAAAAGAATGTTTCATTACGAAAAAATTTCCATCTTGAATATTGCAGTTGTGGGAAGACGATGTAAAGAATTAAACATTTACTGTTTTCGAAAATACAGTATTCAACCAAAATAAGACCATCGACATTTTTAAAACCGTACTAAGAAAATAAATTGGAGCCGTTAAGGAATTCACGCAAGTTTTACGAACGAATTTTAGAAAAAAATGCAAATATTTGGGTTCACATTTGAGTAGTCGTCCTAGTATTCCGCACTATGTTTTTTAAGAGAAAAGGACTTCGTATTTTATCCTAACTGCAAATGTCAGGTCCCTGAACTAATATACACCTCATTTAATGTTTGAATTATAATAATTCTACCCTTTGAGAATTAATTTTGCAGTTAATCTAATAGTCATATTATTTTATCTCGGAGATTTATTTCTGTCTGTTTTCCTACAATTTAATTTTACATAGATTTTGAGTTACACTTATTACGAAGTAGAATACTCCAGAAGAGCTAATGCCAAACATGTAGATATTTCCTAAAATGTGGAATACATACTCTAACAATGACGAACACGTTCATCATGATGTAAATCACGTGTTGCGAAATACGACTAGGGTATTATCTCTTCTCTGCCTGTTTCCATACGTACCTTACCTGTCCCTGAAAAAAACAACATGTACCCTACCTGTCACTCATACAATATTCCTCGCCTATCCCTTATCTGATTCCCAACCATTCCTCCACCTGACCTCCAAAATAGTGCACAACTTACCTCAACGGATCCCTCAAAGCTTGTATCCGTCTAGGATACAAAAATATTTCAACTGTCTAGAATGCACAGTTCGTATATCTTGACGTGGATTGCAATAAACTGTTCATTACGTCTAAAATTTTGTATTTTTCCGTCATAATCTCTTTGATTCCGGTCTGGGTTTTACACTACTATCCAGCAGTAACACACAGAGATTTGTATCAATGGCTTCTTATATATTGTTAAAAATTGGCATCCGTCGGCTCATTTTGTAGAGAGAGAATATTCACTGTAGTATATTTCCGTAGTGCGTATAGTTTTATTGTTTCTTCTGATCCTCCAACCTTTAAGTTATTAACCCATATTACGTAAGAGAGACGTGCACTTAATGAAAGTTAGTGTTCCCTTTTCTTTTGCACACACACACACACACACACACACACACAGTCATCAGCAGTCATCGTCAGTCAACACACAGTGAGTGTTGATTGGTGAATTCAGTTATTTGAAGTGGTTGATGTATGAATTGACGTATTTGCGTGCCTGACCTTGTGATCGGATATATCGGAATCGTATATTTTAGAAACAAGAAAAAAACTAGTTTTTTTTTAAATTTTGGGGAAACAAAAAAATCTCTTTAGCTTCAGGTTACTTTTTTTGTCAGGGAGTTAATTTTTTGCTGAAAATTTTTTTATATCGTTCAATATACAGTTAACGAATACCATTCATACCGCACAAATAAAACATTTTTTGGTTCTTGGTTGGATTATGAATTAAGCTATTCAATTACACTATAATCTCTACGACGTATCACCTCCGATAACTCCGATTCTCGCACGCAAAAATGAGAGCCCATTGAAATCCGACCTTGGCGCTTTTCACCTAGGTGCGACGCGACGGAATTTACGCGGAACGCGGCTGAGCGATTAGCCCCGAAATTGCTATTCAGGCGAAGGCGCGAAGAATCCTCGAATTCGGCCTCCTGTGTTGCTGGGGGAATTTACGAGTGCCCTTTATCAGGTCGCAGGAACGCCGCGTTTTTGTCTCGGCCGCGTTCCGGGCGCGCGGGCGCTGTCGGCGGCGACGGAGGCGGCGGCATCGGTGGTGATGGCGGCGGAGGCGGAGGCGCGCCAAAAAAAGGTGGAAGTCTTAAAGACAACCTAACAAGGGTCTGACTGCGCCGTTGATGACACCACCTCCGTTACCAAGTCTTCGTCGTAGCCAGCGCTGTAACCTACCGCCAACACCGACACTGACACGCAGCCAACCCCTGACACTTCTTACGAACGCGTGCGTTGCTAGGATCTCTTCAAACATCTCTGGTTCTATTTCCTTCTTTCTTAACTATCTTCTCCCTGCAGCGACCTTTGGGCTTTCCGCCACCTCCGCCGCCGTTTTCGCCGCCATCTAAGGCACCGCCTCCGCCATCACTCCCGCTGCGGCGTCCGCCGCCGCCTCCGCCGTCACCTCCGCCGTCACCTCCGCCGTCACCTCCGCCGTCACCTCCACCGTCACCTCCGCCGTCACCTCCGCCGTCACCTCCGCCGTCACCTCCGCCGTCACCTCCGCCGTCACCACCCCCGTCACCTTCACCTCCGCTGCCGCCTACCCCGTCTCTGCCGATGCAGTCACCTTCACCGATTGTGCCATCTCCACCACCACCGTATACGCCGTAAGCTCTGCGGCCTCCTCCGCGTTCGCCGTCTCTACGGGATTTATCTTCGTCTGTCAGCTGCACTCACCCCTCCCCATTCATCGCTACGTCCGCCTTCTTCGCCATTTCTGCCGCCTTCACCACTCCCAGCACCACCACCGCCACCATCACCAACACTACTGCCTACGACATCACCAATCCTACTGGGTTTAGTATAGGGAAAGAGAACGGAATCGTATGTGGATGGGGTGGCATGCTTAAAAATGGACAAAACATGTAGTTTCTTGTGACGGGGAGAAGCGTAGAAGAAGAGCTAGCGGAAAGCAGATACAAAACCAACATGTAGCATTGCAAGTATATGGATGATTTCGAGTGGATAACTGTTTTTCTAAATCAGCATGTAGTTAAGAAAATATGTTAAAGATAGAAAAGGTCAAAGAAAATAATATAACTGTCGAGAATATAGATAAGTTGGAAAGTAGGTGAGTAGAAACATGAGTGGAAATGGGAGCGAGTGGGAACGGTTACGTGAGACGATGGGAGCGAGTGGGGACGTGATCGAGTGGGGACGTGATCGAGTGGGGACGTGATCGAGTGGGGACGTGATCGAG